CTAAACCACGGCAGGGCTGATGGCGTATTTCACTTGAGCACGTACCTTCCTTTCTTGGTGAAGAATGTAGCCTTTGCTGCACCGCAGGTACCGCAGCAGCTCCTGTGGCAGAACGGCTCCCACCCTGCGTGGGCGAGTGGTTTCCAAGAGCTCTCTGTGAGCCACAGAAAGTGCTGGGGAGCACAGGGGTGCTCCGAGAAGCAGAGAGAAGCCAGGGGCTATTGCAGGTACAGCAAGAACTGCCAGGACAGGGGAAATGCCACCACACACGCAGCTTATAAAATTGAGGACAGTAGGCTACCTGGCATAAGGTAACAGTTTACGCAGAACTAGCAAACATTTGTTTTGCAGCTCGTGAGGGCTTACAACTAGCAGATGTAAGCTGTGGAAGGTCATTTGAAAGCATCTTATACGACAAACAGCTCCTTCTAGAAGCAGGTGGGACCCCAGGAGGTGGGTTTCTGCAGGCCTACCCAGCACAGCAGCAGCCGGGCTGGTGTAGAACCGTTCAGGGAACTGCGTTACACTTAATTTTCATCACTCATACAACTGCCTTACAAACCTTCCTGGGTGCAATCAAGTAATTTTACCTTCCCGTTTTCTGCTGCACATTCATTTCTTTTGCCTTTCCTGGCTCATACACCACTGTCACTTGTCCCCTGGTTGCACTGTCAATGAGCTCAGGGGTTGAAGCTTCTGACCAAGGCAACAGCCAAAGGAATGCAGGAACTGGACTTGCGGGGCTGGGTCCTTGCTCCCAAAGGCCCAGGAAGGTACCACGTGAGGCCACCAGTGCCTGACCTTGTCCACTGCGATATCCAGATAAAACATAAAAGCCTGTAAAAAAAGGACTTGTCTAGTCTGAATTACTACTTAAAAATCTTATTTTTTTAGATCTAATAGGAGAAAGTATCTTCCTCAAAATGCTTATGTCTTGATACTACAGTCTTGCAACAAGATACAAGCAGGTAGACCCTATGATGTCAAAACTGTCCAGTTTTAAGTGGGAGTCCTTCTAGGCTCATGTCTGTGAATATTTGCTTTTTAAAGGAGGGAGGGACAGATCAGGTCCAGATGGACCAAACAATATCCCAATACGGTATTTATTGCTACGCAGTTTTCTCCAACTAGAACTTTTCTTTTTTTAAACCTTACGCATCAACTTTCGTTAATAGGTCCCACTACAAGTACTCATCAGGGCTTCCCTCCTTGCTCTCTCTTCTGCACACATCTGTGATGGTTCCCAGATTTCCTTCCCATTTCACATGTACGCACCCTCCCATGGGTTAACTGAATCCCAAATCCTACTCATCCTAAAGGCACAGGCACCCTATGGACCAGCCTCAGCTCCCTCCCTTCCCTGGAGTGGCACTTGTTCAACTCAGCCTGTCCTCAGGCCTGGATGCACTGTGCTTGTCCTCCCCAATCCCTCCTGTTATCCATTAACTTCCAGATCACGAGCTTCCCCCAGGCTCCAAGCCGGGCAGACAGGAAGAATGAGTTTCCGTACTCACTGTCACAGTATCTGGATGTGCCCAGGGCAGCATGGCATCAGCCTTCCTCGCGGCTGTCGTGTGGCACTGCGTCATACTAATGCAAGCCCTCCAAAAGTTTATTTTGGCATTACGGCTCTCCAGTTTTCTCTCTGTAGTAAGTATGTGACATAAATGGTATTATTTCCCTCCCAACCTCCCTGACATCCCCCTGCTCAGTGTACAAGACAGTCTAATCTTTCTATGATTTATTGCCCAACTACCCCCTCCTCCAGAGAGCTCCGTTATCACTAGTTAGCTCTCACCACGTGTGCAGGATTTTTTGAGTTTCTCATTACCTGCCATTTAATCAGTGGGCCGTTTCCTCCCTCAGTAACAAAGATACTGGCTAACAGCAGACCTCACTTCTGTCTCTTGGAAAACACAGGATGTTTCCTCCTTACTCTGTACTTTTACATTTTGTCACTATAGTTTTTGCATCACTTCAGGCAGGAGAGTTCACACGCCTCTTCTGCTCAAAACACACAAACCACACAACAGCCAATTCGTCTTTCTTGGAAATCAAGTAAAAATAAAAAACTGCATTCACTTCTATGTTTTTTGTTTTGACCTAAGTTTCACTAGTTCCAGCAATCTTAAAATCTCAAAACTCTTCAACCACTTCTGTGTCTAAGAACTTAAAAACCAAACCTGGTGATGACCTCTTATTTTGCTTTGACTGAGAGATGAAAGCAAGGGATCAAGGTCCTAATCAAGGAATATTTATCACCTTAAAAGAACAGGAAAAAAGCTGAATAACACACAATGATGCAACTTTTCTGTTATTTTATTGATATTAGTGAAGAAAAATTTAAGTTTCATCTTTCTGATGTGTTACAACTGCTTTCTCCGGTGGGTGGACAGCTCCTACTGTTTATTTAAAGGCTAAATAATGCTTCCCGATTGCATGAATAACTTCTACACTTTACGTTCTCATAGGGTATTGCTTTCTTCCTCTTGGTATATAAAATGGTCCATTAAGTCCATGATTTTTTTTCAGCATCAACAGTTATTCTACCTACTGTTTTAAGATACATTCAAATAAAAAGATACTGAAATTTACTTGCAATAAGTGCACACATACAACAGCAAAGAGAGCTGATGACATTTTACTGAAACATTTTAAGTTCATAGAATAAATAGAAGTCTTCAAACACATGCAGTAACTGACCGATGTGTTTTTTCTTTCTCAAAAAATATCCTTAGTGTCCATAGCACTACTGCAATAACTACTTCATTCAGAAAAAAACCCCAAAACACCCACCCATCTCTCATCACAAAGACTAAAAGACAGTTTAATTTATACAAGAAATTATCAGTGCTAATGATTTAGTAACAGTCTGGTACAAACAGCAATTCACGGCAGTTATGTGTAGTGTGATTATGGTAACAAATGGGGAGCTTGATTTAAATGCCACAAGAAGTGCAAGGAAAAGAAAGCAGATGTTAAACCCTCCCCCCTTCACTCCTCCCGGTCCCCACTTCAAAAAAAAAATACAGGTCTCCGTTCAGCTCTAGAAGCAAGCTCAGCTCTAGAAACAAGCTCCCTCCAGTCTGCTCCAGTTCCAGGATATTTCAATTCTTTCTACAAGCACGCAGCAGAAGTTTGGGAGAAACACAGAAAAAAATTGCAATATAAATTAGGATCACCTGGCTGTAACTAGAGATTGTGTGAGGTCTTTTGTTTCTTTTGTGAAAAAGTGGGGGTTATATGTTTGGTATTAGGAGGCGTTTTTTCTGTTTAAAAACATTGTGGAATAAAGTGTTTCCCGTGTTTTTATCTCTGCTAAGGTCCAACTTTGGATGAAAAAGGTTTCTCTGAAAAAGGAAAACAGAAAATGGGTGGGGAATATTCTCACCCTGCTTACAAGGCCATGGTCCTCGACATGCGTGAAACCTGAAGATCAGCACAAGGATTGCAAGTTGCTCTTTCCAGCTTGTACCATTCCGTTACTAAATGTTTTTTGTGGTTCTCTGCTGAGGTTTCAAGGACACACCTTTTCCTAATGCTGTTTTTGCTACATGTTCTTTTATAACATTCTTATCTGTCAATGTGTTCCGCAACTTTGACTTCTAGGAAGTCACTGCCATGTTTACCTCATGAGTTGTGAAAACTGTTTTCTTTGGGGGCACTGACAAAACGTGTTTCAGTGGCAGCAACACATAGTAAAGCATTTTCCCTTCCACAGTCCAGTGCAGCATTGAAAAAGAAAACAAAAAACCAAAAAAGAAGTCGCACAGAGTGTAAGCGTGCCAAATGAAACAGCGGTGGTAAGAATATGTCAATATTCCAGGTACCCAGTAGACCTGCTGACCTCAACACAGTATTGGTTCAAGTTTAGCACCTCTGGGAGGAGGCGAATACAGAACAGAAAAAGAAAAAAAAAAAGTTTCATCCATTCAGGCATAACAGCCAGGCACTCCAATAACTCAGCTCAACTCATCTACAGAAGCAAAATTAAAACTACCACGTTAAACTGAGTGCTTTTTTCAGCATTTAATGAAGCACTAACGCTCCCATGCTTCAAGTGATGTAATGTGAGGTCTCACAAAACACATTCAATAGCTTCCCATGCACCTTCGACTCAAGTTAGGCTAGCTACAGAATTCATGTTTTCCTAGTCAAGTCATTTTTTGTTGGTTTTGTTCTTTTGTTTTTTTCAGTGCATCTTAAAAAAAAAACCTTTTCAAAAAGTTAGCAAGTTAACCTTAATACAGTAATCATAGCGTAGAGCCTTTTGCACTCAATTGAACAGTAAAATAATCCAATTAGTTACAACAGATCTGGTACATATTTACACATTTTGTACAAAGTTTACATATTTCTCCCATTAGGCACAAAGTTGATTTGTCAAACTCAAGAGGCAATGAAGGGGCGGTGGGGAAAAGAAAACAAGATCGGAGAAAGAATCTGAGTATTTTTATTTAAAAAGACTAGCTGTAAAAATAAAGTCCTTCATCGTAAGCTAGTTTGTTTCGGGAGCTTGGTTCCCATGAGGATCCCCGAAGTGAGAGACGTCGGGCCTTTCATCTGCATGCTGGAACCCACCATGGTGGGGAAGCTCCGATTCCTTCGGATGCCAGTGTTCAGCTGGATGCCCCCGATGGCACTGGTCACGGCAGGGCAGCCCAATGGGAGACCGTCTGGTGCCAGGCCTCCAGGAACAAGGGCCCTCACCGGTCCCTGTGCCCCACACAGAAGAGGTCCCTGGTCATCAGTTAAAGGAGGAGCTGACGTTTGCCCTGAACTCACAACTTTGGCGATACCAAACCTCTTGACTTTGTCCACGAGATTAAGGTTGGAAACAGACACGTCAGTCTGACTCTCACTGTTCCTGATGTTCTTTTTATTCCTCACCTCTTTCAAGATTGAACTAGCAGGCTTCGAAGCTAAGAAGTTGTCATAAGGTGGGCTGGTGCACTTGAACTCGAAAGATGGAGGGGATGAAGAAGGTGTCTGCATAGGTGAGTTTGGTGGAGTGGAAGGAATGATCGCCATTTTAGGGGGGTATGTGTTCAGGAGGGTGCCTTTGCTAGCTCTGTCCCAGCTCTGTGGATTGTACACTGCTGCCGAGATGCCCCTTTCCTTCAGCAGCCACACCAGCCCCAGAGATGTGCTCATCGTTGTTGTGGATTCCCGGAGGTTAGTGAAGGATTCGGCCAAACTCAGACGCCGAGGAGTACAGGGAGTAGCCACTGGGGTGCCTTTCAAATTGCTAATGCTGCCACAAGCTGGAGTAGGTGCTGCGTTAAGGCTGAAAGCAAAAGAGCAGGCAAATTATTCTCTCCACTAGGGAATTAAAACTTACTGCAAGCAAGATTTTAACCCTGAACCCCTAGGGCCTTTTATCCATTTTGAGAGTGCACAGGAAACTGACAGTTCCTAGCTCCTTGCAAATGTGATGACGAGTACAAAAACGTCATCTCTTGCAAAACGCATCTCTCCACTTTGCATACTTCACCACCCAGTCTCATGGGATTAAGGCATTCCCCAACATCACCGCTTTCTTCTGATAAACTATTAAATTGACAGGTTTGTGATCACCACCTTCAGTTTTTCTTCCTGATCTACTAGCTGTCACAACTCCCAGTTGCTTCCATGAGACAAGGCAACTGGGGGATTTGTCCGATGGTGTAAGACAGACAGATTTACTTTTTAGCGTCACTTCTGAGCACAGAGAATGGCTGGTCCTTCTAGTACTCCTGGGTCATAGCAGAGAAAGCAGCAAGGGAGAAAGGGAACATATTTGCTACAGAAGCATTTGTAGCAAAGCTGCTGGAAGTTGGCGTTGCACCAACATGTACTTCTGCAAGGTCAAATTCTTCTGTTGAATTTGCTTTCATTTATGGGGAAGGGGATGGGGGATGTGACTTTTGATGGAGATGCTCAGAGGTGTCAATAGTCATCAAAAGAGATGAGAAAATACAGTCAAGCTCTTGGTTGTCAATTGGTCAATAGGTAACTGATAACTCAGCAGCGAACCAAATACGACACAGAGCCATTCTACTGTTAATTTGGTAAAACATTAATTTCTATAGTTTAAAACATGGCTAAATTGCTCCCACAATTCCAGTTCTTTCTTCTCAAAATAAACTGTGTACAGGCAGTTGACAAGAAAATGTTAAATGGGCAATAATCCACACATTTAGAACAAGTGGCAGACATTACATACTTACGTTTAGTGCTATCTTACTGCATTTTGTTTTCTTAAACGCGCTACTGCTAATTATTAGGGATTGGGATTTTTTGAAGCCTATCAAATAAAACTCATTCTGGTAGACCATCCTCTCCCCATAAGCTGACCATCTGAATGAACACAGACTCAATGCAGCACCTATTTCCAAAGAATTACCAACACAAAGGAGATGTTCCAGATCCTTTGTGCCACAGTATGAAATCTCATCGACACTGAGGTTTGAGTGTTTCTGGCACTACTGTGCCATCCTTAGAAAACTTGTTCTTATAGATCAGGCTAGCCGTAGCATGTTTACCTATGCACAATTCCCACTCAAAATTTATGGCAGTCCAAGGTACACCATTCATTGAATAAGGCATGGTGTACTTAGTTATTCCAGAAACAAGGCATGTGGAACATCCATGACACTCCAAATTCATGTCTCTGGGAGAATCCCAAGGGTTCCATAGACACTTAAAAAAAAAAAGCTTTTCAACTATTTCTAACCATGCTGAAATTATGATTTTTTGCTACATATACATACACAAAAAAGTGAATTCCACGATAGTATTTCCTAGGCATGGATTAATCCCCTCTAATGGCATTTAAAGGGTCTTGAACAATGCAACACTTGATGCTAACAGAGATTTCACTGACCTGAGAGCTCACCACTGTTCAAAGAAGGAAATCTTCCCCTTCATTTTGCCAGGTTAGCAAGTAGAAGACACTCAGCAAAGAGACAGACAAAAAACAGAGCCAATGCAAGAGAGCAGAAAAACTAAGCGGCTGGGGGGGGAACAGGGGAAAGAGCAGGATCTTCCCTTTTCAGCAGAGCCACACTGTTGGTTCGGCTCAGCTGTAACATGCAACTTAAGTTGGGTTCTCTGTAGCGAGAAATGCATCAAAAAACCATACGGAGACAACCTGGTTGGACTTCCAGTTATAGAGAAGCCTCAGGTCAATGAATGAATCACATCCTTTTTGCCCATATGCACAAAAGGGCCTGGATGATGTCTTGACTGGAATTTGCAGTCTCATTTCACCTTACATTAATGAACTCTGGGAAACCAAGACTACTGTGAATGTCAGGTAAGACATCCTGGAATGTTTTGTTCTGTGTTTTGTTCTGAGCCAGTTTCTGATGAGCTTAGAACTTCGTCTAATGGTATATAGCAATCAGCTGACATGAGTTAATGTAACACTACAAACTTTCATCCAGTGATCCTCTAAAAGTCATCAGTAACATCTTTAAGGCACTCCTTAATTAAGGAAATATTAGCCTGATGTTATGAAGTCTCAAGTCATGTCTTCTTTCCATGGCTAAATAGGATCTGACCAACATGATCTCTAGGGTAATTTAGAACTGTACCAAGTTCTACTGAAAGCAAGTGAAACTGCCAAAGGATTTTTACCCTGCAGTTGCAATTCAACAAGAGTAATCCCGTACATTCCTACCTGTATACTGCAGTGAAACACATGTTTGAGAAAACTAGTATTAAGAGTGGTGCAATTTGAAAAGTAGCCTTGCTAAGTGGCTCTGGAATTGGTCTTCTTGCACCCCCCAGTGTGCTGTGGCTGTCAGTGCATGCGGTAGATGTGCTAAGGCAAGCTCTCTTTATGTCCTCTTCATTCTGCCTGGACCGAATCACCGGCAGGGGAGAAGGACTCCTCACAGCAGAGCTAAGGAGGCCACACACGCCCACTGCAGCAGCACACACACACACACTCTGAAGGCAAGGCTGAGGGGAAAGGAGAAGTTAGTTCACAATTCTTCTCTTAAGCATTGACTAAAGCTGCTTCTTCATAGCTCTGATTCCAGTTCAGGGTGGAACTAAAGAGCAGTGACAGACACTGTGATGCATCTCCCACACTGGCTAAACACAGAAGTACAGAAGTAGTCTTGAAAAGCATGAGGGAGGGAAAAGAAAGAGAAAGAGAACTTACTGCGTGAACTGACTTTCTACAGGGTATGACCAAGTACATTTTGGAAACCCAGACATAGCATGTTAATTATCAGGCTTCTAAGATGTCCTAGCCATGAGATGAAAACTACAGCACTCCCATGGCTTACTAACTCCAACAGCTTCATTCTTTCCAGCTCCAAATTTCAGTTGCACAGATATTTAGATTAGTATTTCTACTAATTGGTCAGCACAGGTACACACTACAGTGCAATTAAAAAACAAACAAACAAACAAAAAACCCCATCCCTGCATGAAAGTGGTTGTTAAATGCGTGTTGCTTTTTTCGGTTTGTTTGATCATTTTGGTATTGCTTTAACTGGGAAATATTTTCCCCATCAAGCTGACCACCACTGCAGAGTAGCCTGGACACAACCACAGAAACAGGCTCAAGCTGGCCTCAGCAACTCAGCCCAGCAACAGTTTCAGAGTTAGACTGAGAAAAGAAACAAATGAATGAGTACCTCATTTAGCTAGATTAAATTTAGTCAGGTTAGAGCGTCCCCTGGGTTAGAGGCTAGGTTAAAAGGCAACCAGGTAGGTAAACACCAAAACTTTTTGGGTTAGCTGGTGCCACACACACTAGCATTCCTTGTACGTGACCCTGCCAGCACAGACGCTGCTGGCAGTGTTGCTCACCCCCTGCCACGCTGGGTCACAGTGTCTGCCCTATACCTCCTCTCAGCATAAGAAGACATAATGCAGTTTCCTCGTCCTCCTCACATGACCTGTGAAGAATCATTTATAGTTGGTAAGGAGGAGCTCCTTAAACATGCCTGCTGAAAACATCATATTGTTTATTTTGGTCCTTTTCCTCCTGCATGAACGAACTTTGGCATAACTAAGTCACCTGAAAACGTACTGAATTTAGCTGTCAATTATGGCTGACTTGTTAGATTTAGTAACCAATGTAATCAAGGAGTTTATTATGACCACAATTAACAGCAAATCAACGATAATAAAATAGAACTGTAGCCAAATAAAAGGATGTCTTCAGTAACAGAATTGAGGGGAGGGAAGACAGAAAAGAGTAAAGAAAAACCAGCCAGGCCACAATTAACTGTCTTTGTTCAGAAAGAGAAGCAGAAAAGTTACATTTAATCATCATCTGTTTCCACCTCACAGGTTTTCCTATTTAATACCCTTACTTTCCATGCGTTCCTTAGGCAGTCAGTGCCCATCTCATGTCTAAACAAGTCTACACAGATCATCTCTGAACCTACACAACGATACACTCCCACACAGGAGCTGGAAGGGGCAGAGAAAGTGATGAGGCATTGCCCTTCTAAACAGAAAAAACGTTCTTTAAATACTGATTTGCTAAGGATGGAAAGTTCCCTCTTCAGATATGAAATTCACTCACGCCCTCTGGGTTCTCAGATCTTCACCTTCTATAAGGCTATAGAATTGCCTTCTATCGGCATGTATTGCCTATACGTGCCAATTGCTATTACTAAGCCAGTTAATTAGTTCCAGCCTGGCTACTATGAACTCATTTCCAACAATTACACCAAGGAAGAAAGTAGATGGCTCCCTGTTTTTGATTAAGGCATATTTCCTCCTCCATTCCTCATGTACTTCCCGGATTTCTTTACCTGTGCATCCCTTTTTCTTCTGCGCCAAAGATTTAGATTTTTCCTCCCTGGAACAATTTCTCTCATATTTTTTGTGAGACACCACATTCTGCGCATTCACACATGAGGACTACAACTGGTTTGGGATCAAGGGTAGTCAGGTTTGGATACTGAAAGGCAACTTAGTTATATCTGATTCTGCAATATTTTAACTAGAGACAGCGAAATTTAAGGTATCTTGGTTGGCTTTCTAAAACATTACACATTCCTCTCAAATAACATCAGGTTGATGTAACTCAAAATGGGGAAAATAATTTGGGGGTATGTTGTAATTCAACGATGTGGCTAATGCTTTTGCTTATGCCATTACTTTGCACTTCCTTACAGGTAAAACTGACAGATCTGAAGGCTTTGCCATCATGGGAAACCCTTACCTTGGTGTGACTCGTGTGAGTTCATCGGAAGGGTGCAGAATGCGGCAGGTGGTGAAGGTGAAGGTGGAGTTGGTTTGTGACATGCACTTCCCAGGATGAGGTACTAAATTAAAAAAAAGCAAATTCTTTGCATTTTACACAGAAAAGGGGAAAACCAAACTTCTGTGTGCTGATAAGACAGATGCAAAAAAGTGATGAGGTACCTCAGACAGGATCAATGCAAGAAAAGCGAAATACAGAAGTGCTACAGTGTTGTAACAAACACTTGTTCTCCAAAACAAGCACATCTAGGACTCCAAGGCCAGTGCTAAAAGGGTCTGCTGAAACTTCCCCATGATCACTAACACTGCAGATAAGTCTTGCTCAAATTTAGACAAGGCAGTGCTTGAAATGTTAGTACTCATCCAAACTAGCAACTTGCATAAGTGGAAATTACAAGCAGCATTTTCTAGTACCAGCTCAGGAGCACTAAAATTTTCTGAATGCTTATGCATTTCAGCTTTTAGATTGATCCACAAAAAGGCATCCTCATTACTTCTCAGTAATGGATCCAGCTTGCTACAGGAATACAGACTGAAAAGTTGGCGGGGGGGGATGGACACATAGTACTATTTCTCTATGTCTGACTTTTTGCATCCACAGTAAGGAAAGTGGTTGTTTTTTGGATCCACTACTGTACATCTGTGACATTTCTCTTGTGCATGTTCTTTAAGAATGTATGCCCTCAGCTGCACAACATAGCAGGTTTTTTAAGATTTGTAAACAGTGTAGTAAAGCATTTTCCCCACAAATGTGGCTGTAAAGATGCCACTCTGTCAGTATACCAGTCGTGTGGGAAAGAAGCAATACAGCTCATAATTTAAAAAAAATTAAGAACTTGGGCCCATTTCTTTCTTCTTAGTAGAGCTACTTCTGTGGATATACTAACCTGCTGTATAATGCAGCTGTGGCCATTGCAAAATAACTACAAAATTTAAGAGCCATGCATCTGAAAAGCTGGTTGAAAAACACCCCGAGTTAAATATTACATCAAAGATATCATGATTGCATAGGTTCTCTTACTTAGTAACCAAACTTAGCAGTGGTCAAAAGACATGCACAATAAGAATTGTGTGCAGCTCCTTCCCTCTCAGTCCCACCCAACCCCCTGAGCCATTCCCTGATTAAGCCACATTTTAATACCACAGTACACAACTATTCAACACATTGCAAAGGACAGACAGACAGACCAACTAGACCAGACACCATTCTGAACTTCTAGAGATGCTTAGCAGAGGCAAGGCAAGTCTTAATTGTGGCTGTGTTCCCTTTTTCTTATATAAAGTATCACAGCTCCAAAATAGTGTGTGCAGTTAGGTAGTCCTTTAAGAACACATATAAGCAGTGTGTGAAGGCTGGAGCATGGGGAGTGTGAACAGTGGAAGCAGAAGTGGCTAAGCAAACAATGTGAGGTAACTTCTAGTTAATGCTGGAATGTACTGCTGTACATTAAAGAAGGATATTTCTAAAAACCCACTGGAGTGTCATGTTAACACACTCAAATGTTAGCACAGCATAACATAACAACAAGCTCTACTTCACCTCCAGAGACGGTAATTATGATGCTTCAGGAATCCAGTTGCTTTAGAGATTAGTGTGAGCACTATAAAAGCTATTACAAGGGAGCACAGCCTAGCAATCATGATTCTCTCCATATTGTAGAGAGTTAAAAGAAAATCTGGAGAAAGAGCTCAAATAACTGGACATGAAAAAATTGGTTATTTAGAGAAAACAAAGGACTTCAACATAAATCAGGTAGAAACAAAGCAATTATCCCTGGATGATGAATAGAGAACAGAATAAAGCAATGCTGGTTTAAGATTGCAAGCTCAACCCAAAGCACATAGCTGTAATACAGTAAGTGCATTTTCCCCATTTGTAATATCCACTGGGCACCCCCTCAGATTGGAAACAGGCACATTGAAGATACATAGCTGCATTAGCAAAAGCAAGACTCATTGCTATTAATGAGTCAGGGATAGGAGAAGGCTGCTAAAAGTAGAGAAATCACTGGCTCCAGTAAGAGGAAACAAATTGAAATTATTAAAAAAAAAAAAAGAATAATCAATTTCCAAGGACGTATTCCACCCTCAAATACCACTAAGAAAGTCCTGTACCAGCTTCATTCTCCATCAGTCAACAATGGGGTGTATCATATTGCTGTAGCATTTTCCATCCTTTGGACACAATACAAAGAGAGTGAGAACCTGTTGCTGTAAATGAACAAAGTTTACAAAATAGAAACAAAAGTATTTATTCCTAACCTAGTAATTTTACATCAGAATGGCCATCTCCTGAGTTGGTATAAGTTTGTGAGGAAGTAATACATAAGTTTATAATAAGAGAACCTATCTTTACATGTACATACAGCAAAGTATTATTTTAAATATAAACACCTGCTCCATGTGACTTGTGTCTGAAACCAAATGTTTTATTTACACCTTCTTTTTCATAGTAGTAGATGATTAACAATGAGGCTTCATATCTGTATGAAAAAGAATCTGCACATAACTAAGCGTTTAACAAAATTTACAGAAACATCATGTAATTTCATCCATCAAGAAACCATAAACTAAACTGTATGCGCGTTTTTCCCCTAAATTAAAATTCAAGTTAAACCTTAGATTGCTGCTGGATGGTGTTTTGTGTCTCAGCAATTAATGATTCTTTACCTTATTAAGCTTTCTCAAACAATTCTTAGGTATTTTGGAAAAAATGCAAAACATGATAGCTGAAAGAGACTCTCCTGTAAGCACAAACACTGTTGAAAGAACATCTTTTAAAATACTGCAGAAAAAGGCAGGTACTCGTCAAACTGACTGCAGAGCTCCATCTTCTGGTAAAACAGAGCTTTCTCCACTCAAAACACAAAGCTGATTGTACATAGCTCAGAGCTGTTTCAGATCCAGCTTCAGTACTCAGAGCTTATGGGCCATTCTGCCAGGTGCAAACAGCAAAACAAATGAGTTTAGGACACAATCTTCTGCTCAGGGAAGCCTCAGAAGACCATTTAATCTGGATTTTTCAAGCAGCTCATGCAGAGAAAGGTACAAAGTTACAGTAGGTAAATTAGTGGCCTGCCCCATCCACAAAAGGTGTCAGACAAACTGAGTTTGAGGAAGATTTGTAAGAAGCAGCTATACTAAAACACCACTGACTTTTGTACCATTGGTTCCGAACTCAAATTCACTATTAGGCTAGATGAATAGTGAAGAGGCAGAGAGCTCACAGCGGCCAGTAAATCTTCGCATTTTATATAAATACCTATTCTGGCAAGTACAGATTTATGCAGAAATGAACTTTAAAGCTATGGACTTCACTTTTGCCAGTCTATGCCACCAACTCCATTCTTTGGTAAGGTGAAATTCCTGAAAACTAGGTCACAAACCCCATTAGGATCCACAGGACAAGACAGCTGCTTCATGTACTCTCTAAATTCAGCAGAGTTCACACCCTCCAGGTGACTGAAGGTGAAAGCTCTGATACCCAGTGCCACCTGTCCTGAAAAACTCCTGGCTGACAGATCAGGGAAAATACAGGGTATGCTGGAGCTGATGCCTGGGTTAACTACTACAACAAAATGGAGATGGGTGATAAACACAACAGCTGTAAAATATGAGCATGGTGCTCTCCTAAAGGTGTTCAGGTGCCTTCAGACGTCCTTCAGAAAACATCGCCATAATGTCCTTCAGAAAACACTGGTTTCAGGGGTAACCATGAATGCTCAAAATCTCCAAGGATCCATACATCTATGCCAGGAGCTTTACTCCTGTTATGTTTCTTAAATCTGCATTTCCAAACTTCCCATTTATTTTGGCTTTGGAAACAGCAAGAGATGAAAAACTGAACCAAGGCAGGTATTCTTTGGACAGTATTTTCTTAGCTTTCTTCTGGCTGAGGCCTCCTTCTCATATGTATATAACCATGGAGCACAGATGTAAAAAGAATTCAGTGTATTTAATGTGGCTTTAACATGATTTTATGCAGGCTAGGATCCCAAATTAAAATTCTAGCATTTTAACAGCACAGATAGCAAATGCTGACAGATTTTTCTTGAAGAAATAATTCCTGTGAACTATTCATGCTGTTTGAAAATAAAATATATTTAAATATGCATCAATACCTAAGAGAGTTACAAAATTTATTGCTTTTCTGTACAATGGTAACCTCTTGGAAGCATGTATAGTAATCCTGTTGAAAACAACTCAAACATAAGACATTCATTATGTGTTTTTGTGATTTTAGGCATCTATTTGGAAAGGTCTCCATATCATTGTCAAGGTCTAAACACAGTACAAGAGGGCTGATCCCGTAATGCTGTGCACATCTGTTCAAAGCAATCAATCAGTGGAACTAACAAACACAAGTACTGAAAGACTAGTTCATGCACCCCAAACTAGCATGCAATTAAGCACATGCTGAATCAAGCGTAGCCCTTCCAACTTCAAAATGAGAACATTCACAACATTATCAAGTGCTTTGGATGGCTTGGGGTTTTTTAAGGGAAACCTGAAAGGCAATGAATTAAAAAAGTAAAACAAAACAAAACAAAAAAAAACCCCAACAACCCTTCCCCCCAAAACAGACTCTGTCAAGCTTTATAATATACTGCAGTTTCTTTCAAAGAATACAAAAAATATATTGAGATTACTAAAAATTTGTGCTGCAAAAATTACTTGTCCTAGATGGTATTAACAATGCCGTATCCTATAATTTCTTTACCATTCCAATTATGCTGAGAGTCTACTCAAGTGATACAGAAATTTCAAACTATTCCTGGGTACTAGGCTAGAACTGCGATTCTACAATTTACAATCCTCCATAAAATACTGAGCTCACGCAGAGTATGTTGCTCTGACAGACCAACTGCGGGTCATAAATTACATGTGCGTTACTTTCTTCTGAAATGTTCAGTGCCATAATTGGGATGTAATCTGTGTATACAGTAAGGAAGTTATTTTACATATGAATGGATACTACAGGTCTTAACATAGGGACAGGAAAATTCAAGGATCATAACTTTTTCTTATTTAGTCAGAATTGATTTCCGACTCTATCCATCACTCAACAAGAAACAACTGATACTCTGTTATGAATACATTTATTTTGGCTACAAGACATCTTTGCCACTACCAGCAACGTCTGTTCTCCTGAGCCTGGATGTTAAAATGACTTCTCTTAGGGCTCATCTCAAGCAGCACTCTACACGCCCTCAAAATGGCAATAAAAATAGGACCTCATAGTACTCTGTCAGAGAACATCTCCAGTGAAAAAATGGTAAGATACAACCCTCGAACCGTACATATCGAATGAGGCAGACACCTACCCAGAAGACTGAGATGACTTACACCTGCTGGGAACAGTCCTTGTAGGCACTGTATTTCCAAGGACATTTCACTCTCCGGTTAGAAGACCTGTAGCTCTAGACTGGCACACTCTATGGCCTGCCAGTGGCAATGGTAGGGAGATACTTTCTGGCTTTTATGGACTTCTTGAGCTAGATTTTTCCACTACGGAGGTATCCTGGATTACAAGCAAAAGCACCAAAGATTGTATCCAAGATATTTCTCCCCTTCCTTTTTTATTGTACTTCCACATTCTCTAGCAAGAGCTTATTCTGTATGTTGTTGCCTTGCATCTCCCCTGGAATCATGCAAGCAATGAGGTCATAACCTTGCACTTGTGACAGCGCTCTAAGGAGATGCACATCCGTACACACCCCTACCTGTATTGCATTTCTTATAGAGAAATCTAAGAGAGGCAGAAAGAATGCTGAGGAGTTTTTTTTAAGAGGAGCAATGGCTGCACAACATTTAAATACAAAATAAATTCATAAGCTAAGCACACATCTCGGCTCCCGAAAGGTATTCTTCAGTGGGCAGATTGTGGATCCTAAAAGCACTGTCACATTAGCAGTGCCTACTCTGAAAACATCCACAATTATCTTCTCCTTGTATACCGCCTGACAAATTGCTTCAACAAAAAGCAGATACAGAAGTGTCTTTATTTCATTTGAGCAATGCAACCAGTACTGATGTGGCTCATGAATACTCCTGAATCCTAAGCAGATGGGCAATCTGGAGGAAGGATAAAGAGTGGGAAATTGAAGTTTTCCATGCATTTGTTTATTCTACACAAAGTTATTCATACTGACCAATTTCTCTATTTCTCTAACCTATCAAAATTACTCAGCAAATAATACATGATGAGATAAGATTACTAGGACAATTTCACAGATTTTTATCTACTTGCCAATTTATAAGGTAGGAAATATGCTTAAAAACCTTGTCTGAGATAACTAGAGCTCTCCCAGGAAAAATCAGCAGTAACTGGGGAATAACCTGTTAATAACAGTGACCTGTATTCAAATAAGTGATCTCTGGAGGTACTTAAAAGACACGTAGACATACAGTGCTTAGGGACATGGTTTAGTGGTGGACTTGGTAGTGTTAGGTTAATGCTTGGACACAATGATGTTAAGGGTCTTTTCCAAACTAAATGATTCTACGATTCTAGGTTTAATCTTAATAAAACTGACTGCAAAAAGTAGCTTACATTCAATAGCTGAAAGCACTGAACTGCCATTTCAGTGAGAGCTGAGGATACTCTGCACTTCATGAAAATAACAGAAATACTATTGTCTAGCCCTGAGACAATCTAATCTTCCAACAACCAGTCAAATAATAAATTATGATCTATTCCAGAAAAAGGAGGGCGAAGGAAGTGTCCTCATTTAAAGTAGCTATGTAAAAACAAGATGTCTGAAGAAAAAGGAGCTCTGGTAGTTTTCTGATTCTGGACTAGATATAATTATTTACTACTGGCAAATCTTAACGAAGATTCATATAGCTTATTAAAACAACCCCCCCCGCCCCTCCGCAACCCAACCCAACAACAAAAAAAGAAACCACACAAACTCATCTGTAGTCTGAGAACCTGTAGCCTCGTTCAATAATAGACCACAAATGTCAGTTCAGAGTATCTAACAACTCCTGCAGTACTGTGTCACTTACAATGTTTAAGTCTTAATATGGTATAAATAGGAAGGAGAGAATTTAATAGTGTGGTGGAGAGGAAAGGGGAGGAAATGTCATTATTCTCTGCATAAAAACATCCTCTTAATTCTATATCTCAAAGGGAATTTAAAAACAGGGAACTGTATCTGAGGTAACTGAATTAATTGCAGAAAAACTCGCAGAATTTCTTTGTTTGATTTTCAAGGCACTTCCATTTGTTTCAGCAAAGGCAACTTAGATGCACCTTTTGTCATCATGTAGTCTTTTTTTTTTTCCCCAAAGTATAAAATTCTAAAGCGTGTCATCACCTCTTACGAACATAGTATCTGCACTATAGGCATACAAAATATGTATCGTCTATACATTATATACACTGAAGAGCGTGCACTAAATACACATACAAGTTGCATACGTGCCACACAAAGGTTTGTGAACGAACCACTTCCTTTTAGCAGCCTTCTCTTATCAAAATAAAGTAAAATATTGACCACAGATGCTGTTACTGGAAAAAAAGTCAAATTAAAAGATTATTAAAGAAAGGGTTTTTGAGCCAATGTTAGAATGGTTATGTTCTAACTACTGCACGCATTAACGTGCAGATGCTACACACAAAGCAATACTATGGATGCTGTTCTGGAGAGATGCGAGAATGGCCCAGTAATCAAAATCCTGTAAAGATGTCAGTTTTACTGGACTTAATGAGTTTCCCTCACCAGACCCCTCATCATCGTCAGTCGTGGACTCCTGCATCTCCTCTGTGAAAGCCTGAGATTGGCGGGGGTTATTCTTGTTGTCTGAAACAGTCACTTGTGCTTGTGACCTCTCACCTGAGGTCTCTGTGTGCTGAACTGGCGTCGAGGTAGTTAGGCCCTTGTAAGAAATGTCACCTGTCTCATCTTCCTCATAGTCATTAAGGCAGTACACTTCATCCAGGTCCAGGTCCAGTGTCCGGAAGCCCTTAGTGACAACCCCAGGCCTCGGGTCCAGGATCCCGCCCAGGTGAGGCTGAGCCAGCTGCTGCCAGTGGTGCAAAGTGGCAGAACCTTGAAAGGCAACACAAAGACAAGCAAAATAAATCAGTAATCAATCCAGGATCTAAAAGGCAGAAAATCCCACTTTGTTTATCCAGAAGACCAAATGTCTGGGGGCTCCAAACATTTAATGTTTCTGGGTTTAATATTTCTAGGCTTTAATATTTCTCAGAAGACAAGCTACAAGGCAAAACTGCTTCACCTACTTTTCATCATTTCCAGATCAATATGAAATAAACTGATCACATAAGCACTGAGATAGGTAAAGTCTGGTGGTAAGATGTGGCACACTTGTGCACACGCACATCCCCTCCCCGTTTATATGCTTATCCCCCTAAATTCACAGGATTAAGTAGGAATAGAAGGAATTAACATTTAACAGTTTATCTGAGCATCATCACAGAAAGCTCTGAGAGGAACACATACCACATACTCTTGCATTAAGCTTACGCTAAGAAAGGTACTAGAAACATGCTACAATTTACTACCAGTGGCTAACAGGAGGACAGCAGTCACACAGATTGCACAGCAACTTCAGCTTTCTACCATACGTTAGAAAGCCACATCAACTCCAGGCACGTGTAAGCAGATAATACCTCTGACCTATACATCAAGTCTAAATACTTGTACGGCCCCTACTTGAGCCCCTATGCTACAGGAACTACTACATAACTCAATGCTACTGTACCTGTAGCTTCATCCTTGGCAGAAAAATGTTTTGAGTGAGGGAAGAGGTGCATTTTACACAGAAAAGCATTCAATATTCAGCATTCAGTAGGAGACAATGAGTCAGAAACAGCAACATATCAGATTAAATTGATACATACACCGAGATGGGACCACTGATATCAGGGGAGGATTTATCTGATTCCTCAAGTAGTGATTAAACACTGCTCACAAGGGCCTAAGTTTTCTATGTGTCCACCAATCATTACTGTGCTGTAACATCTGACTTAAAACTATCCATTCCAAGTCCTGTGACACAAACAAAACATCTTTATTTTAATCTCTGCCAGCAAAAATCAGAGCAGTTTTTGTTGTCTTGTTCCTGTCCCCTCTCCCCAAAGCAGAATACTGACTCAGTCAACAAGCTGGTCTACAAACATCTCACCAGTATTCAAAGACAAAAAAGGTGTAATACCTTGCATTGTACATGTAAACATCTAAACTACTGTAATAACTAGGGAAGGGATGGCTCTTACACACATTATTTTGCATCTGAGAAAAATCCTATGGAATGAGAAAAATTGTCATTTCACAATAAGGATATTGCATTACAGGAAGCTTATTGTAAATAGGAAGTGAACAGCGAAAACATCCTTCTGTAGAGTGACTGGGATCAGTGAGTAGCATTTTAATTATCTCACTTTTTGAAATGTGTAATTTTTAGCTCAGAATAATTGGATCTGCCATATTACTTTGGATAACAGTGCTTTTTTCTTTAAGAAATTTTTGAGGGACTAAAGAGGATTTAGACTGGTACTCTTGAGGCTGAAGAAGTAGAAACAATTACAACCCTGGAATAAATAACTAATGAAGAAAATATCCATATAACTTGTATAACTTATGTTTATTCCTGAATTGTCACAAAGGTCAAGTTTTTCACTTCTACATAAAAGAAATATTCCAGAACGTGACGAAGTGTCAGATATTGTCAAGTCTTAAGCAAAGAGTAGAGCTTTGCAGTATGACAATACCCTCAAAAGTTACAGAAAAACACCAGAAATCAAAATTTCTTTCTGCACAGTATGGAAGTATAAAAACCTGTGCTAATTAACTTCTGTATGCAAGCTTCTGAAGATGTAATCATTTTCACCTTCAAGCTCACCAAAATTTATACTCAGAAAAACTCTGCAGAGTACAAGTATTAAATTAATAATATTTTGTATCTTTCTTATTCACCAGAATATCTGCATTTTGAGCTTTAACATTTCTATTGTCACTACATGTAATTAATTTATTTTGGAAACTAGAAATCAAAGTGGCCTAAGTTTCATCACAAAAAGGAGGATATCTGAGTTTCTCCCCACCTGTTACTTTAATCTTGATGTTATAAAATGTGTGAAAGGGAGCTTTAACTTTTCCATACAGAAAATTAGCACTAATGCAGAAAGTGATGCAACAATTGTCAACTACCTTATGATTTTAAAAAAAAAAAAAAAAAGGTGCCAAATTGAAGGGGAGAATACAACACATTGGCCTATATTCAGTCCCAGGCTCCTACTGGACAGTTTTGTAAATTATGCTATCAGAAAAAGCTGGCATGAGGGAATTAGTGTGCAACAGTGGGACTGCCAGGCTGAAGTAAGAAGAAATTTAAAAGCAAAATAAAGTATATGCATAGAGTTTGGTTTTCTATTCCTGATATCTGCATCATCGCATGTATAGTAATGGGGGTCAGAGAAAGCTTGGAAATTCATGATGCATTGCTGCCACAATTGCAGCAAAGTGAGTGAAGACATAATCAGTCCAAGGTTCTAGTTTTCCTACAC